GAGTACCTAATCAAGTGAAATACAATATGAAAATATTAAAATAAGTGGGTTGAATTATAACATCAAATTATAAGAAACAAAGCAAATCATGTCCCACTTGGTTGTTTTCCTCTTTTTCACGAATATTATCCTCACTTACGATAACCTCAGCATTAATAGAGTGAAAGATATCATCAACATTATTAACACTCTTATTTTTGTCCCCATTTTTTTCTTGTTGTTTGACAAGCATGTCAAACATTTTTTCTATCACTAATCGCATCTCTATTTGACTTTTTGCGATCTCAATTTATCTTTCTTCAATCTGTAGCTGTCATTTCTCAATTATCTCAAGCTTTTCGTATATTTTCTCATTTTTTGATCTAGGAAGTGAGCCTCGCATACTTGTTTTTGAGTCATCATTGTCAGTATCTTTAATACTTAGGGGTGACATAGTATTTCTTTCTACTGCAGCTTGAGCCGTGCTTTTCTCTCCTATAAAAATTTGCATATAATCCTGTTCCCATTCTTGATTTGTGATGACCAGCTCTTATATTTTCAACTATAATATCCAAAATAAAAGGATACATGATGATTTACAGCTGTTAATTAATGTCAAATACAAGTAACAGCTAGCAATTTGCCAATATATATCATATGTAAAAAATCATATATCACTGATATACAAGTACATACCATTGATATACAATACCATGAGCTGCATTTTTCATTTTCCAGAGATGTATATCAATTGCACCCATCAACCAAGTAAACAATAAAACTAAATTTTCCATGCACTATAGTGAATTCATTTATAAGGTAAATATAAAATCATGAGAATACTTACATTCTTTGCATTGATCACGTTCTTTTTAAGTTGTGACCACTCATAATAATCATTCGTTGTTCAATTTAATATCCTTGGGAGTGTATCTCCCACTTTTTCAGCATATTTATATTTTTTCAATACTGGTATCATTTCATATGCCCAGGCAACAATGGCATATGAGAATCCTCCAATCTAGTTATTCACACTAAATTTATTAATTACATCCTTAAATGATTCCATAGTCATGTTGTAGCACACCCTTCCCCATGAATATTTTTCAAACAAGTTATCATCTTCAAGCAACTTATAAAACTTGTGATCAATGACATTATGATCTTGTTTTGACAAGAGCACATTTTTCAAACAATTAAGTCTTGCCAACTTGACAAAATTAGCATCATTGTTTGGATTGTTACCTCTAAAGACAGAAAAGATGTCCTTTCTTTTAGGTAACATGTTCTTGATTTGAAAGAATTTGTCTATGAAGGTTAGGATTGATTTTTCACTGAAGTCCATAGCAGGTAAAGGATTACAATTTAGTCTAGTAATAGTTGCAAACTCCTTTAATCCAAAAGTTAGTCCTTTTCCTCCAATCAAGAAGTATAACTTGTCATCCTTTTTCCCAGGGCATTGGCTTCGAACTAACTAATGCACTAACCATCTTGGAAAAGCACGCATTTTTATATCTAGTAGGTGTCCTAGACATCCTTCTTTGAATGTTTCAATCTACTCCTTATTTAGCTTTTTCTTTATTATTTCAACAAATTTAATCTTGCTGCCATGCAATATTCTTTGATGAGGATTCTAAAGTTCTCTATTGATTATATATTCTCTTGTGCTTCTTTGATCTTGACTATTCTTCTCTATTGCCTTTTTGTTTTTCCTACAAATTGCCTTTGAAGTTATTGCTTCTGATTTTTCAAAAAAGTGTAAATATATTTAAGTACTATCATTGATGAAGCAAATATAAAAACAACAAAAAAAATACATTTTACAATGGTTTAAGTCAATCCTCCTTTGCATAGTAAAGCTATATGCAAGAAGACCCAGCCTATACTATTCACCCACTCCTAGATTTTCTAAAAGTATTATAGATAGTTTGAGGAAGACCAATGAGATTTTGAATCAAGAGGTCTCAAAATTTCATAAATAAGTAAGTTTCTTAATGTTATAACTCTAGTAACCATTCAGTTTATTCTGTAAGGGTCAAGAACATATGTCTACCTTAGAAGTTTATCCATGGATATTCCTTTACCTAAATACAGATTCAAAGTTTGATGCAGAAGAATGAGATACAAGATAAGGAGATACAGAAGCTTTAAAAAAATGTTGAGGAAGCCAAGTCATTGGGTGGGGATAAATCTTCCAAGCATCAAGTTGTAAATGATTTTATTAAGTCTATAAAAGATCAAGTGTCTTTATTCTATATTCCAAATCTGAGATTAACTATTTCATTGGCTTAATAAAAACTCATTGCTTCTTGGAAGACGAAAATAGAAATATGATGCATCTTGAAGAAATGAATGCAAAATTCTTTCTTAACTAATCTACGCACACGCTAATTTGCAACCTTGCTATGAAATATTACATATACTAAGTCTTCAAACGTGTAACAATTTGATATACAAGGTATTGTACATGTTTTAGCTAAAAGCTTCAATACAGGGTAGGGTGTTTTCAGCTCTGAATAATAGAGAAATCAAGAGGTCAAAGCATATGACATACAGCCCTACGTCAAGGATTCTATAAAAATACCTAGTAAAGTAGGGTGATTTTTCCTCTTTGGTGCCATTGACAGAATATTTGCAAAATCCTCGCTTGAACTCTGGCTTGAGTAACATAATGTCACCGGACTTCCTCACCCTGAAGCTGTAGCAGTAGTTGTTCCTCATCTTGGCAGCATTTTTTATTTTTGACATCGAATTTGTAGCAGCAAGTCTACCTCGCTTCACCTTGCCTCACGTTCATGTGTTTTCCCAGATGAATGCAAAACTTCAGTCTGCCTCACCTAGCGTATGTGTGGTGTCCTTGCTAAATCTTTGAGTTCGTTTATCCACCAGCGGCGGCTATTTCATTGCCTGCTGTCAATTTCTTCTCCCACAGTCCAAACGCATAGCACTACCTTTAGGTCTTCGTGTGGTGCAAGCGAAATGCCGTCTCCAGATCTCCAAGTTTCTGGTTTGAGAAAGGCAATTAGGGTATTGTAGTCTTTAAAAATCATTTCATCTTTTGGTATCGAGAAAAATTAACAGATTGGCCATTCTTTTAATTTAAAAAATGGTGGGTTATTAGTTTTATTTAGCTACATAATATTGGCTAAATATGTTAAAGCCCCAAAATAAAATAGTAAATCTGCACTGTTCAGATTAATAAAGCCAAGTCCTTACCAGTGACGCATTTCGTTGTTCACATCTCCCAATGCAAACCATCCCCTGCTCATAGGGTACACTGGCACTATAATAACAATCTTACGTAATAGGATTCATATTAATCTAAGCAAGGATAACAATACAAATTTCGATATCAAGCAATATAATTAAAAAAATCATTTTCTCCTAATAAAAAAAATCATTTTGCCAATACTTTATCCAATGAATGATGAAAGGGAGATGGTTGAAAAGCGCTTGAGAAATTTTAGCCAAGTACATAGAAAGCTGTGGCAGACACCAATAAAAAATTAAAAAAAAAAAAACGAAATGAATGGCTTTGAGACCTGTAAAAAAAATCATTAATCAATAATTTATGTGACTTGTTATTTAGATTCATGATTGATATATAGAGATTAGGATACGCATTTGCATGTGCTGATTAACTCCTCCATTTCATCCCAAAAGATCTCTGCCGTTAAGTTTAAATTAATTTTAAAATATTATATCTGCAAAAATAATAATTATAAAAAAAGATTTAGTATTAAATCTGGACTAACTTTGACATTCATTAGTCATTAGAAGATAAGCACTATACTACCCATCGCTTTTGATAGAATTTGAATAGTTCATATTTAAATTATCACCCCTAATAAGGTTTGGATAGTCCATATTTAATTTTTTAGTTCATATTTATCAAAATAAAAATCTATAAAAAAATCAAATTTTTGATGAATTTGTTCATTTTCAATTTTACCAATATATATTTAATTTAAAAGATTCAGTTTAGTATTAATTTTTTGATAAATTTTATAAATTGATTATTCTTGTGTATTCTAAACAGCACAAATGGACATGGTTTCTTTTTATTTTCTCCCTACTTCCCATCTCAACAATTAGATCTATTTTTAAATGATTAAGATTTAATGTTTTATAAAATTATTATTAAAATGTGAAAAATTAATTAATTTTATGAAACATTAATATCAACCATTTAAAATTGATTCTAATAATTGAGATGAAAAGTGAAGAGAAAATGAAGAAAAACTATATCCCAGTGGAGATAAAATATGAACAATTCAATTTAATATTATATTTTTTTTATTTTTTTTTTCTTATAGAGTATGGGAAAAGTGTGTCTCCATTTTCCTTCTCTTCATTTCCCTCCATTTCTCTCTCATTATCCTTAGATCAAAATTTTAATAGTTCAAATTGAAGCTTTGATAAAATTATCATTTTATTTTATACAAAGATATACAAGTAAATTTAAATTATCAAAGTTTAATCTAAATCATTTAAAACTATAATATTTTATTTATATTTTATATAAAATTAAAATAATTTTATTAAAAATGAAATCTGAACTATTAAAAAGTTTTAATTCAAGGGTGATGGGAGAGAAATGGAGAGAAATAGAGGGAAGGAAAATGAAGACACATTCTTCCCATAAAACTATCTAAATATACTCTAACAACTCACATTTAATATTAAAATTTTTATAATTTTTAAAAAATTTATTTTAATAAGTATATTTTTTAAAATATTTAAAAATTAACAGTAGAAATCTTTTAAAATAAAATGAAAGTTCAGGATCAACCCTAAAGGTAATAAGCATCCGAACCGAATGCGTGCCCATAGAGATCACCCCAAAACTTGCTCAATATCATCAAAACTTCATTAACGATGGGCACCAAGCTGGATAGCAAACTAAACACAGTACCTTCAAACAGTCCATCACCCTGTTCTTGGCAAATGGGAAGAATAATTAATCGACACTATTTCAACATGACTCAATCAGGTTGACCCAGGAAAAATCGCCAAGTCAGTTGAGATGCAACCTAACACTGCAGGTTATTGAACAACATATAATTTTATACAAGCTCAAATTCGATGAATAAAAGTAGCTTATAACACTTCAATATGTAGAGATAATTTTATTTCCCCGGGATACGTCCCTACAATTTTCTTACCTCAACAAATCTAACGATGTTTCATCCGCAGATTTGGCTGGTTGCAGAATGATGTAGCAGATGAGAAGATCATTTACATCTAAGTTAAAAATGAAACAAATATAAGATCAACCTTGTCAGTTGATCATTTTTGCTTATTTGCACTTGCTAAGCAGAATATCTTCACAGATGCTTATTGAACACCGGGTGGGCTGGAACTCTGAGGATATTTAACTTGGTCAACCAAAATATCCTTGGAAAAAAGATCCCCTCCAGCAGAGAGAAACAATGCACTTTTTACGCATAATTTCTCTCGTGCCCGGCTGTATACGTGCATCACCGAAGTATATCACAAATCACGAGTTCTCATGCTACTTCTTCCCTTATGTCCCCATGATCCTGACTGGAGAGAGACGTTAGCTGTTGTTGCAACTGTTCAAAGTAATAACACAGTCGCCAATTAGTTTTACAGAAACCTTTGAACATGAATTTTTTTCGGGATGAAACCTGAATATTAATCCACAAGGGTTGCATGGACGCATAATGGAAAAACAAAGCTTCCACATAGCCAAGTTTAGAAAACATAACAAGAAACAGTGAAAGGATGTCTAGATCTAAAGTCACCACATCCTCTTACCTGTATCTGTTTCAACTTCTCAGCAGTCAATTCCTCTGTCAAACTGATGAACCTGTAACTCGTGGAGATAGGGAGGAGGCAGGGAAAGATGTGAGCTAGGTGTTTTAGTGTAAAAAAGTCTGCTCAGAAAAACTTCTGCCAATTGTCATAATTCTAACCTGGCTTGTAGTTCTGCAATTTTGTCCAGCAGCAGACGTTCCCTATCCGAAGCTGCTGAATCAACCTACAAACCACTCAAGGCCAACAGCAATTTTGATCTCAGGGAAAATCATTATACATCAATGACAAGAAACGCAGACATGGCCAGTTCTAAAGGGGGAGATTCACTCTCGCAGTAATTAGAAGTAACCAAACAAAAAAGTGAAAGTGCATTATTACTCACAATTCCATTGTTCTCTGAACTGCAATATGCTGGAGGCGGTGACTTTCCATTCAAAGAAGCTGAACAAATGATTGATTCTTTTTATAATTCAATATATACTAAACGGATTGAAATGGGAAGTTTTTTACTCACCATCAACCGCATCAGCTGGCTGCATGCTATTTAACAAAGTCATTATAAGATCCTGGCATGAAATAAAAAATTTCAATGAAAATATAAATCCGCAAGATTAATGTTGAGATGAAGAGACTTATATCAGGCAGAGCTAAACAATAAACCAGTTCCTGACTTAGTTGCCCTCACCTGTTGAATAATTGTCTGCTGGAAAAGATTCTGAAGGTGAGCCGTCAAAAGTGATGCAGGAATATTGGCAGAATCTTTGGCAGATTGACCCGTTGGCTGAAGAAAATAAGTTGATATCCAATTAAAGAAAGACAATATTTGGATATTAAATGAATAATTAATGATACCTATGCAGCCTGCAACTACATGATATATAATTTGCCCTTTTGGCAACCAGATAAATCACAAGTTGATTATTTATTCAATCAATTTATTAATTCCAATGTTAATTAAATTTTAATTTAATATCATTATCTCAATTAAATTATTAATGCACAACTCTATTTTAATGTTTATGATATAGAATTGATCATATGGATATTTTTTTATCAACTAGTTTTATTTCATAATCCTGCGCAATGAACAGAGCCGATTTCTAGTCACATCTCACATAATTGTTGCCTCGAATTCAAAACAGGGATGCAGCTAAGTACACATAAACAAGAATGACGAAAAACTTGACAGCCAGGTTTAGAGCAAATGACTAATGCACAAACCATTTGTCTAAAATCCACCATCCAATCACCAACACTGGCAGATTTCCGCAGTGGTGATCCCTAGATTCGACAGGAATTGAACATCAGCTTGGGGGGAAAATATGACATGACTGTATAAATAATAATTAATAGAGCTTTTTACTAAAAAAATAATTAATAAAGCCATCAACCAACCTGTGAAGATCGGCGTGGAACTGAACTTATAGGAATATCCTATGGCACAATATTATGTCAGTCAAAGATATAATATAGGGTAAACAAATTATAAGAACAAAGCATACCTTCACAAGATCTAAATTTTCTGATGTTACTGAGAATCGCCCTTTAATCTGCACAAGATTAGTCTTTGATTTATCATCCAATGAATCTCTGAATCCTGCAAGGAGCAGAATAAATGGAATTTACTCTACAATTTCAAGAAAACTAACTGTTGGAAATGCTGCCACTTGAACGTATAACCTTAATTGCAAAACAAATACCTCCTGAACATTTTATTGGAGCTGATAAACTATTTGCCGAAGCTCGGTTTGGCAGCATCAAAGGACCACTAAAGCTTGGAATTTTTCGTACTTCCCGATTAACTTTCTCACTCGATGGCTGATTTTCCTTCTCAAACCTAAGAGAAGAACATGCTTAATCAAGCAAAAGTTGATGATAGTGGTGATAACAGAAAACCAGAATTACCTAACAGCAAGACAGAGAGGCAGCACTATCCATTTATTTGAAACTTTCAATTACAAACTCCCTACCATGTATATGAACAGATGCTTCAAGAAAGGTGGGAGGTAAAAAGAGAATTCCAAACAAGTATTTCCTTTCAGAGGCTACACTCTGAATGTACTTCATTTCATATTATCAAAATGTAAATGAATTGAACTGTCTCCTGTCATTAAATGTTAACTAGCTTTCGTAAGTCATTTCTATAATTGCCACTTGTATCCATCAGCAATTAATAGAAAAGATGAAATATTTCCTCTATTATCAGCTGAAACCTGGCAAGAACAAAATACCAAGGCATTTTTTTAACTTGCATTCGTATTTGCAAATCATCTTCATCCTTCCCACAGAAATTTTAGGAGTGAAAAACTTTCAAACCATCGAGCATTAGCTTTGAAATAAAATGTGGAAGAGAACAATATAATCTCCCTACCACTCAATTTCATCCACAGCAGAAACCCATAAGAAAGAATGAGCATAATAGTTATTTTGGTGAACAATATGAATAAGAAATCAGGGCTCTCGATTTCTTTGGGCCAGCACTTTAAACCAGCTTAAAAACGAAGATACTGTCACATGGTATTAGTTAGGATTAGTTGTTAGTAGTTGTTAAGAAATAACAGCTTTCAGTGTTTTGTAAGATCACTTGCAATTTAGGGGCGTATAAGTAGGGCTGAGGCAGATGTATGAGTGTAGTTGAATAATGTTGCCATTGTGATTTTTTCTGATGCAGACTAAAGGAGAAGATAATTGCAATATTATTCAACAATACCCATACACATGCCCCATCCCTTATTTTTAGGCTGCAGGGGATGCAAGTGATCAAATATACATAGCACTATCATTTCTTAACAACCTCTACCCTGCTAACAAATAATCCTAACTATTCAGCGTAACAGATCGTAAGAAAATACAACATACCTTTCTGAGGTACGTACTCTTTCTGATGAAGAATGACCAAACACAGTTCCTGGCACCAGAGGCCCACTTTGGCTCTGACGACTTTTCACTGATTGAGATCTAGTCCTGCTTGTCCCAATATCCTTCTCCAATGTGGATGATGTTGCCTCAGAAAGTGATCCATTTCTTTTCCAAATAATATTTTAGAAGATCCAAGTTCCTGAAGATCACTTTCAACAATCTTACCCTTTTTGTCCAAGCTCTCACTCTGTTTCATGTCATTACTGTCTGGTAGTGATGTGAACTCATCCTGGGGAAAATTATCAGAATTCTTTTTCCCTATACCAGACTGGGAATCATTTGTATCCTGTCAAGAAAAAAACAAAGATGAACAGTCAGATAAAGAAAACCAAAAACAGCTGGACTAATTATTTTTGGTTATAAAGCCTTCCTCACACAACCTTATAATTGGTAAAGAACTTGTTTTCATCTTCTTCCCTCATCTCCAAAATATCATCATCATCATCCCTTACCTAGCAAGATTCAGAGACATGTATTAAGCATTAGAAGAAATTAGTCAGTTTAGAATTTATTAAAAAAGAAAAGAAGAAAAAAGAATACAAAACCATCCCCACCAATGAAGCTTGAGCTTTCAAATCATCAATATCAAAGTTCCATGCACTAACTCCTCGCTGATATTCACTCTAAAAAGAACAAGAATGCACAGATAGATTAGATTTCTCCAATTACAGATTCCCTTCCCTCCCCCCCCCCCTCTCTCTAAGAAGAAACAAACATGCCATATTAGATATTATCTGAAGCTTCCAGGAAAAAAAAAAAAACTTTTTTGGCATCTTACAGACTTTGGGAGACAGGGCACCAATCGATCTCAAAGTCCTTTACACATACATTGATTTTTATAATTATTAATCTAAACTAAAAACCCCTAACTCCTCTTCAAGAAAAAATTGACCAACAGGAAATAAGATTGGCCAGGTGTCTGCCATCCAGGTATAAATTGCTCAGTAGGCTCGAGTTTAGTTTAGCTAGCCTTAATCAAGCTATAGAGGGCTTGAGTAGGAAGGACATGTAGGGAGTAGTGTGGGGTGGGTTAAGTGTTTCAACTCCCAAGGCAATAGGATGGCAAGGGCTATGATGGGTTGGAACCCATCACAAACGACCCCACAGCTTCCAAATTGGACATTTTGGGACGGATTTGAGTTCTTTATAATTATTGGTTAAGTTCAACTGAGATTCTATAAATAATCTAACCCTCTCTATTTTCTGTTTCATTTACATAGATGTTGGAGCTGTCGCCCTTCAAATTTACCTAATCTAGCTAATGACATTTTAACGTCCAAACAAGGGAGAGTGGATTAATATCCATGTTTTCATTAAACTTACAAACAGTGGAGAGATTTGTCTCTCCTATTCCACTCCACCCCATTAATGACTACTCTAGCCCATCCCTTCAAAACTCCCAAGTAAGCCCAAAGGTTATATTTCATGCATAGCTAGAAACTAAGTTTAAGAGCAAGAAAAAAAGGATCTATTGATCATATGAGATATTATCCAAGAAAATGTTCCACCAATGCAAATTATAAGTTTGCATTTCAGCTTTCACCTGTGATAATGCTTCTTGTTCTGCAGAAGGCATTCTCTTCAGAGCTAGTTGAGCTGCATCTTTAAGCTGCAAGATACCATTAAAGTCAAGCAACCATACCAAACAAGAGAAATCATCGAACATGAAATATCATATTTATGATGGAAAACCTGAAGAGCTTTCACACGATTCCAAAGAGGTGGTAAATCAGCAAATAATTTCTTCACAGAAAGTTCAGGAGGCTTAGCGTTTTTAAAGAAGGAGTGTTTCAACAACTTCTCCGCTGATGGCCTCTTTGTTTGATCTTTGACCAAGCACATAGCAACCATTTCCTTAAAAGACTGATCACAACTGGAAATACTTTAATTAGAGTATAAATATATGAGGAACAAGATAGAACACAGCTGCGTATTTCAATCCCTCTTCAGTCTTATATGCCATGACTACTTAATGGATCCAAAAAATTAATATAATGAATGTCTTGAGTAACAATGATACCGGAAAGAACACAAATACCTTAGAGAATTTTTTATCACGATCATAATCAAGTCCAGGAGGGGCATTTTGGATGGTCATTAGAAGAACCTATTGAAAAAACAAAAAGTTAAGTCAATGTCCTTTGCTAAGAATTATGATAAAAGAACTTGTATTTAAGTTTTCTAACATACACCATGCACTCTAGTTGAATGCCCACCAGAAGTAAATACCTTCATTGGAGGATATTTTGAAAAAGGAGCGTGACCATGAGCCAATTCCAATGCCGTAATTCCAAAAGACCAAATATCAGCCCTGGCCATAATTTTTGCATTAGACAATCTCATCAGTAAGAATAAACTTGGTCCACCATGCAGCCAAGATAGGAAAACAAAATATGTTTTGCAGTTTAATAAAATAAGTGTATGAAAAGAAAGAGTAACAGCTAATGGGAAACTCTCCCAACATATGATTTCTAAATTAAGTAGCTGCAAACATCTATTATTATGCTGAGAGTAGTTACCAAACAGCACAATTTCCAAAACCACATTAAGGAACTTTAAAACCAAAGGGCACAATTTTTTCCCAAACCACATTTAAACCAAAAACCATGGTTAGGAAAGAAGCAACATGTAGCTGCTTTTGGCCAACCTCAAGCTTAGCTAACCTCAGTTTTGACCAACCTCAATTTTTCCTACAATCACAGCTGCAAATCAATTCTACCGAAGCACAATTTTGGCCAACACAAAACCAAACAGGCCCTATGTTAACATGAAAGTATAAATATGCCAGCTCGAAGACTAACAGAATAACATTTCTATCCTGGCATCTCCACCAATAAGCAATTCCACTAACACCAGATTAAATCAATCAATGCATAGATTCCTTTTGTGAAGATTAAAATGGCCAAAATACAATTATAATGACCAAGTCTTGCGGTGGTAGAGCATTGGAGAATGAGACCAGAACCAGTACATGTGAGAATCAAGTCATTTAGGAGGATAGTTATTAGGTTACATGCTTGAAATATATACAAGAGTCCAAATCTTGGTTTAGTTTTGTTTTCAGTTATGACATCAAGATTCAGGTTTATGACTCACTTGAAATTGTAGCCGCTTCCTGGTTGCAGTACCTCTGGTGCCATCCTGCAAACAAAGGCACGGGACACTAGTAACACATCAATTATAAAAGAAACTATGGGATAAATATCACAAAAAGACATTATGTGGTTGGTTGGTGGGTTGGTTGGTTAGGATATTAGCTCTGTTAGGAGAGCTTAATTGTATCCCTATTAGTATAAAAAAGGGATTGATTCATGTAAACAGCGTGATAGATTTTGGTAGAGTAAATTGTAAATATGCTATTCACATCAATCACATTCTTTACAAGAAAACACATTTCACATACTATTGGCAGAGTAAATTGTAAATAAACTATTCTTTAAATATACAAATAAGGATACAATTTAGATCCCCTAGCAGAACTAACAGCTTAACTAACTGACTAATTCCATCTAATTAACCATGTAACAAAAGGCATCATGCTAAGGTACTTGTCATTAAAAAAAGAGTACAAGAGTGTAGAATATGGATAGCATATATTACCAGCAAGGAGTCCCCACGAAAGTATTTCTCGAACGCTGCCTATCACCAGTATCAAACATGCAAGCTGAAACACCAAAGTCAGCGAGCTTCACAATCCCTTTACTATCAAGTAAAATGTTTCCAGCCTGTAAAAACAAAGATCATATTAAAAAATGCACTTCAGGTTGGCAATACAAGGTAAAGTCATCACCATCTAAGAAAAACAGGAGTAATGTAGAAATCCTGTATTAACTCCATATTTACAATTACCTTGACATCACGATGGATATGCCCTTGTTGATGAAGGTACTCCAATGCCTTGAGAGTTTCTTTTAGAATAGATCCAATAGCTGCCTCTTCAAATCCATCAGGATATGCTATTTTCATGAGGTGTAAACAAGAACCTTCATCCATGAATGGCATGACCACCCAAAGATTCCGCTCAACAACAAATGAACAATATGCCCTCACAACATTAGGGTGATCAATCAAACTCATAGTTTGAGCCTCCCTCCGTATGTCATCCTATTAAGGTTCGCATTTCATCCAAGTGAAAAATGAAAGCAGAACAAAACCCATGGACAGATGAAACTGACCTTGCATTAAATAACTACTAAGCAACAACCTCAGCAATGACTTAAAATAATATGGAAAATAAATAAATAATATAGCACGCATTGATGAAGCCTAAATCTGTCTATTAGTATCATTAATACTATCACTAATTTTTCCTCCATTCACATGTCCTGGGAATATGTAAAAAAACATATTAATAAACCTGTTTATATTCTTACCAAACATGCCCAAACAGCACAATGGGTTAATTTTTATGTTCTTGAGATGTAAACCACCAACTTTGCTTCCCGCGCAACAATCAACCATAACTCCGAAGTGAGCACACAAATGGACGCAGGTACCCTTTAGTGGGCATCATTTTGCTAACTTTTAAAGAAGCATTGCAGTATGATGACCGGTGGATCTTATTTTATTTATGGATAAATTGTTTTAAAGAGGGAAAAAAGATGAAAGGAAGAAAGGAATGCAAGTGAACATTTGTAGAAGCCTTGCAATTTACAGAAAATTGAGGGTACGATCGTACGAAGAAATTGTTTCAAGCCCTATATAAGGATTCATACAACTAATCCAGAACAATATTGCTCATGCTAGAGACTAGTAGAGTTAATCATCAATTCAAGTTCCGGCCGGTCATACATATACCTATAGGAAAACCTATATGTACCCGACAGAATTAAATTAAAGAAATATTAATGTGAGATGCGAATCATAAAGGACACTGTAATGGCTTCCTCCTCTACAGTTTCTATTTAAAACATAGACGGATGGTGCATCGATTGTTTCTTTAGAGCCCAAAATCACAACTGTGATGCAATTAAATACACAAGGCATGAGGAAAATCATTGAAGCATGGTAATAATCTGTAACAGGTAACATGAGAGATTAGAACAAGGAAAAAGAGAGCAAACCAGATTGGAATTGATGCGATCGAGATCCAAGCACTTGACAGCGACGAGTTCATTGAGAGGAATATAGATCGCACGGTAAACGGTGGCGCTAGCACCATAACCAACCTCTTCAAGAAGCTTGTAATCAGAAGGATTGGCAGAGTAATTGCTGCGATTCCCTCCCATTCTTCCCATACACCCTTGAAGACCGTAACGCACTTACTACTTGAAAATTCTTCTTCTTCTTCTTCTTCTTCCTCGTCTCTTTCACTCTCTTTCTCTGCTATATCTATGTATGTCTCTGAATCAGGCATGCCGCTCGTTGACCGCCATCAGTAATCATTCAGAAACACCACCGTAACAACCACTCGCAGGCTGCTTCCTATGCCATGCCAACAAGCTCCAGCTCCTCACGTGTCTAAGCCTTCCTTGCTCATCCAGATCTTGACGCGTGCAAGCGTTCGTCACGAGCCCCGATTAGGACCCTCGCGAGCTTCTTTGTTTTTCTCTTTGCCAACTAGTACGGATAAGTATGGAAATATTCAATTGGCCAAAAAAAAAATAATTATTATAATATATAAAGTCTTCGAATCTCGTTTAAGGCAATGTGACCAGCAAACTGTTTGCCTTTTCATTTTTCAATTAAGTGAAGAGAGACAGCATAAAGATATCTAATAGAACTTATTTTTATTACATGTTTTTTCTTGTAATAAAAAATGTTGTACTGTTCACTCGTGAAGTTCAAGGCCCCGAAAATAGTAGAAAAGGCAAACAAAACATGGCAAAAAACAAAAAAAAACCTAATATTTGTATTTAAAGATTAAAATAATAATAAATATTAAATAGAATCTTATTCTTTTGTAACATGATCATACGTGAGAAAGATATGAAATTTATTGAGAACAAAGTGATAGGAAATCATTTTAAATCATTTGAATATACATAAAAAAGATCAATGAAGATGCTGGTAAAAAGAGACGAATGGATAATTTTGAATCCGACTAGAAGTAGAAAAAAAATTAAGAGGACACTCAATGATAAAAATATTTTAAAATTTATTTTTACTTTTTTAATCAAATCACCGTTGAGTTTTTTGTTCTTGGAGGGTTTAAAATGCAATAAGTTATAAAAAGATAGTATACTACTTCTATAAGTATGTTAAACTACATAATTACAAAAACCATTTTTATTGGATTTTATTTAAAAAAACTAAATTACTCAAAATCTTTTAAATTTTATGGACTTCTAAATAATTCCCGATCTCTTGTCTCTACTTCTTGCATCTAACTCCAGACTAAAGAAACTATACAATTTTAATATCCTCATACTACCCTCCTTTATATGTAATAAAAAATATTTTCAGTTAGTCTCTTTATTAAAAAATATAATACATTTTTTAAAGAGTCGAATGTTAAAAAATATAAGATATTTTTAATATTTTAAAATATAATTATTGCATTTCTTCCAAAAAGTATCCCTAATGAATAAATTGCTCTATATTTTAGAGTAAAATATCTTATTAAATATATATATATATATATATATATGAAAAGATAGTATTAGATTAAAAATAAATAACTACTTTATTATAAGATGAGATTTAATTAAAAATACTTTATATTTTTTAACAGAAAAAATATAATATAAAAACAGGCTCTAGTTCAGATGAGATTAGAATAAGAATTTTGTACTTTAAATTAATAATTTATATTACTTATTTTAGATTTTAAAACATTATAATTTATATTTTAAATAATAAATATAACACTACAGTGTCAAACTTATTTTTTAAAAATAAAAAGTAAATTTATTGGCTCAACCCTGAACCCATTTAATAAATATCAGTTTTAATAAATAGCTAATTTTAAGGTAAAAAGTTTTAGGAGCATGAGCATATAAAAGCTGGGTCCAACCCTTTAACTAATTTTAAGGTGAAAGGTTTTATAAGCATGAGCCTTAATTATTTTTCAATTTTGTATATTAAAAGTTATTTCAATTAACAATATTTTTTATGGTCTTTGCTTTTTGACATACTGAAAGATTGGAGCATTTGTTTTATTGTACAATTTATAACCTTTTACATAATAAGCATCAAATTATTGATGTAGAATTAATTACTCATTTTATTTAAAAATATAAAATATTATTAATTAAATCTCACCTTCTAATAAAGTAGTTACCTATTTTTTAACTAACCCTATCTTTTTATATTTACTTATATTAAATACCTTACAATAAATATAAAGTCATTATTAATAGGGACAATTTTAATAAAAAATTATTACGCCTCGAAAGATTAAGAATACTTTATATTTTTGAACACCCATTTTTTAAAAAAAAATCTTATATTTTTGAACAAATGGAGTATTATGTATAAATTAAAAGGTGAAAAATTTTTCGATTTGTACTTTTGCCATGTTAAAAAAATATAGATCACAAAACTTTTTTTATTAATTGTACAATTTTAAAAAATTTACAATTTTATAAATTGATCATAAAAGGTAATAAAATTCAAAGGAATAAATTATCTATATTATGGATGTAATGTGTCAAAATATTATAATGTATAATTTTCGTATTCACCATTCATTTTTTTGGATTTTTTTTTTTGAAATTGAGATCCATTAATTTTCATGAAGTATTTCTTTTTTGTATAAAAACTAAAAGAAAAAATAAATTATGATACATATACTCATCATCTTAATTTGTAAGACACATTTGGAAATAATTTAGTATCCCAAAATATAAAATATTTTAAGATTTTATTAGTTATATTTGTTTAATATTACCATTTCTTCTTTATTATATTTCATTCTTTACTTGTGTTTCACAAGTAAAGTTATATTAAATTAATATTATTTCTAAAAATTTATATTTCTACTTTAAAATAATAAAATTTCAAAGTATATTTAATAAAATTTATTAATATACATAATTTTGTAAAAAATATCTTATAAATTACTCTCTCTGGACCATAATAAAAGACACTGGTAATTATTTTATGATTCCAAACAAATTTAGTTAAAACCTTAATCTTTTAAAGAATTTTACATATTTTTAATTTTATCTTTATTAAATACTTTAGATAAGTGCCTTAATAATAATAATTAAAATTTTAATACATAATCTATTTTTATAAAGTGTAACAAATGAAGTAGAGATATGGTTAAAAAATAATTATAAAAATTATCAATACTCTATATTTTAAATCAAATAAAACTTTTAGAAGATGTTATATATTATGATTTGGAAAGAATATTTTTTAGTATTTATTCTATATTCACCACTCTTTTTCTTGAGTCCCATTCCTACTTTTTTTATTATAAAATATTTATAATATTTTATTTTTTATTTTTATATAATAATTAAAAAATACTATCAAAAATAAAAAAAAAGCCGTAAAAAAATTAAAAAAAAAAAAAGATGTTAGATGCTAATTACAATAGAGGAGGGTGGATTTGTTTAAAAGAAACGGGCCCACCGCTTTCCATGTAGCAGATTAAAAAAGCTGGGCCCTACCACTTTACAATACAAAAATTTCAGGGAAAAAAAAAGTGGATCCCGTCGTTTACTGTTTAAAGAACTGTTATTCCACTATAACATAGATGTATTTTACAATATAATAAGTAGATTAAAGGAGAGATGGTTGGCATCTCCTCTGACTGGGTCGGGAAGAGCTTTCGGGTTTACCACATAACTCTATAGTCTATACGGTTAATGCCACCCATTCCGGTGGATCTCTAACCCAACTGGGGGGAAAAAACAGATTATAAGAAATAAGGTGAAAGGTACAAAATTGGTACATGTCTAGTAATTGGTCTTCATTTGAGAATGTTTGAGGAAAAGCCGAGAGAACTCATGAGTCATGACGATCTATCCTTCGCAGGTCAACACACCAACGCAATCTCAATGTGTGAACTCTTGAATTCTTTTTGAACAGGGACAGTACGAGGTAAGAAAATTAACATAAGCCTTTTCATTTTTCCTGTGTGTTGCCTGCGAATTTTATAAGAGACGTTTTGGTCAACCTCCAATGATGAACTTACCTCTAGCTTTTCTGCGCAAAAACACATCTTTGCCATATTATTTTAAAAATAAAAATAAATAAAACTACGCTAAAGTTAGAACCGAGTAATAAAGAAGACAGAAGCAGAGGATCCATTTTAAAGAAATTGCACTATTTTCAGACCGTTTTTAAAAAACATAAAAGAGCAAAAATACTAAAAAAGTGATCAATCAAGGATACTCAATTTCCTAAAATAAGAAAAAAAGATAAAGATATCCATAAAGTTAAATAAGTGAGTGTAAAAATAACAAAACCATTAACTTTGACTTAATATCATTAAATGCTGACTATATATGCCACGCGTCAATCTTTACTGACATTAACTAATAAAAGGGCAAAAATATTTAAGAAATCGTCGTCTAAGGGTAAAAATATCTATAAAATTATCAGAGTTATTTTAAAAGTAACCAATATATCAAATCCCTTAAAGGTTGAGCATTTAGCTGACTCCTAAGCAAAAATTAACTATTTTTTTTATTGATGTAGACAAAATATTTTCAAATAAATTTTTACAAATGTTGATCAATTATCATATGAATATCCATAGTATTACTTTAATAGATACAACAATGTCCAATCAATCAAAATCCATGTGACATGATTTCTTTTTATCATGTATCTCGCTCCTTTCCTTCCTCCCTCTCTATTCAATTTTTTTTTTTGTTGCAAAACTTGAGATTCAATGTAATAACACAATCAAAGATCAAGACTAAACATACCTTTTATGCCGCCCTATCTTAAGAATATTGTCACAACCTTAAATAATTTTATTCATGATTTGTTCAAAATTTTTAAATGGTTTTCACCACTGTTATAAAAAACAATTAATTTAATTTAATATTCAATCAAAATGACATTTTCTCATATGATATTCATGCAATAACCGATTAACCTTCAAAGAATTTCATTTGAGAATATTTTTGGTCAATGTCAGCAAAAAAACGATCAACTTCTACCTTAAATGCTAACTAAATGGTCAATATTTAAGGATTTAATAGATTAATCACTTTTATACTAACTCTAATAATATTATAGGTATTTTTGCTCTTCGTTGATGATTTTATGAATATTTTTACCCTTTTATTAATCTACATCAATAAAGATTGACACATTACATGCACAATCAATATTTAACAGTTAAAGTTAACAGTATTAGGTTAAAATTAACGGTTTGATCACTTTTGTAACTACTCATGTAACATGGATATTATTATTATTTTTCTCATTTTAAAATACCAAGTGCCTTTAGCTAACCACTTTATAGATATTTTTGGTCTTTTTATCCTTTTAAAAATCCAATGACAACTGATAAAAATCATAATAAAAAGCACATGCTTGCATGAAAACAAGTGCTGCTATGAACGTGCACCTGCAAATAACGCAATCTATCATCAATCAAGACCGAAAATCTCACATCAAACCACCTTTAAGTTTTAAATTTCCAAGTCATCATATACTCTCTCTGTTTTAAATTATAAAATACTTTTAGATAAAATCTCACATACCAATAAACCTTATTAAATACATTTAACAACATCATTAAAGTTAACGACGTTAAGTTAAAGTTAACAGTTTGATCACTTTTACACCTACTCATGTAACATGAGTGTTTTTATCATTTTTCTCACTTAAAAATACTAGATACCTTTAGCTAACCACTTTGCAAATATTTTTGTCTTTTTACCCTTTTAAAAATCCAGTGACAATTGATAAAAATCATATCATAATAAAAAGTAAAAACCGAGTGACGATGAAGAATTGTAATAATTGAACGACGAATCTGATTGGCAAACAGTTTCAAACATGCTTGCACGAAAACAAGTGTTGCTATGTACGTGCACCCGCAAATAACGTAGTCTATCATCAATCAAGGTCGAAAATCTCACATCAAACCGTGTTTTTAAGTTTTAAACTTCCAAGTCATCATGTACTCACTTCATCCCAAATTATAAAATATTTTTAAATAAAATATCACATACCAATAAATCTCATTAAATACACTTAACAATCTTATCTTTTCAAAATAAAAATATAAACTTTTCAAAATACCCATCATTTAATGTATTAAAAATAAAAGTGATGGAAATTACTTATAGAGAGAGATAAGGTAATATTAAAATTGATACATTTAATAAAACATTAATCTACTCAAAATGTCTTATATTTTAAGATGAAAGAACTCTTTTAAAAGTGTCCAATAATTTGAGACAGAAGGAGTATTATTCTGGAAGGAGAAAACAACGGAAATATTGCAGCAAGCTACTAAATCAGTAAACTCGACTTTAAATCGAAATGATTTCGCCCAACATTCAATATAGAAAAGAAAGGAGAGGACGAAGACGATAATAAATGTCAAATCAAATTTCCGATACATTAAACAATCTGATATATTCATCCTGTTATTATACCTGCCAGTACGTCACTTTTGCCTCTCACATATATTGTGTAAACTAGAAGAATTGCATCCAGCCATCCATCCAATGATTCCCATGAGTCAGCAACCTTGTTAATCACGAAAATGAAGAAGGAAGTTAGAGCAGCATATCTTAAAACCAGGGATTCTAGTCTATATGCTTATTGTCTTGTATCTATTAGGCTTTTAATACGTCAGAACAATTTTCAACGTGCTTTGGCAGTGAGTGAAAAAGAGGAATACAAAGGGGAAATAATACTTTGAGACCAAACAGGAAGAACAATGACAAGGGAAGAATCTACTTGCTTCACCATGGGGGCGGTCAGCCAGTCACCCACGAAGCACAAGATCTTCCTATAATATATGGATATAATACTGTTAGATTTTAAAGAAAAAAACTCAATCTGCACCCCCTAAAAATATCCATTCGCCCTGTTGATATTTTAAAATCTCGACAAGACATTTTTAAAGATGTAACTTTTTCTCGTACATTGATCATAAAATTAAGTTTTGAAAAAAAAAGAACAAAACGTGAACGAATACTTTTATGCTTGTCAACTAAAATTTGGATATCTGCTTTCTAACTTTCACCCTTTCACAAATTTTTTTCCTTTTTGATTTTTCTTATCACTATTTTCACTTTCTTGTCACTTTTTTTTTTTTTTCCTTTTGATTTTTCATGTCCTGAGGATAGTGGAGAAAAGTTTGAGAGAAGGAAGGAACAGATATGCATATCGTGGAACAACTCTAAAGCAAATAGCAATTCTTCTTACCAAATAAACGGGCCCATGAACTGTATCTATGCAGAGGCCTGCACCAGGTGGTAAAGTTAAATCAGCACATGCTGACACAGAAACAATATCCGCAACATCTACTCTGACAGACTTCTTCTCTCCATTCACAACATCTGTTGATCTGTCTGAGGAACTTCTAGAAATCTGAAAGGAGGAATGTAATTTAATTAATTCAAAAGGAGAATGTGCTAGAGATATCCAGCGCTTTGAAAAATAATTGGTGGACAAAAGCAAGGATTTCAATTTGTAAGCCAATCATATCTCACTTGTAGAAGCCTTTCATGATTCAAAAGGAATTCTGATCGTTTCCAGTCATTATGAGGTGCAATTGGTTTCCCCGCAGGAGGTGCAGTTAAATATCCAACTTTAAGGTGAGGTAGGGGTAGCTGTAAAAATTGAGTTCTGTCAAATTTATTGTACAAATAACAAATAACTTACTCAAACAACACAATTTCACTGGTCTCAGAAAGTATCCTAAAATAAACAAAATATATTTGTCTTCAGAGAAAAGATGAACTGCTGGAAGCAATAAAGAAGATGGGGTCCAATATGACTCTTTACTGAGAAAGAATAAAGGAGCTCCAAAATGGAGCAATTTTAAGTCAAATAAGACAGCAAATCATGTTCCATATTGGCATGGCAGTCCAGCTTGAAAAGTATTCTGAAAACATTTGAAAAAAAAAAAATATTCATACTCACCATAGAACGCACCAGCCGCAAGGCACTGCTATAAACCTGTTACAAAAAATCAAATAAGGCAACATAGCTGAAAAGGGGGGAAAAATATAAAAATGAGAAATGGAAGGCTAACTGTAAAAATGAGAGGATCAAGTTTTCTTAATCTGAAAAATACATCTAATTATCACAAGAATATACCAAGTAAGAAAAGTAAACATTAATTTCTTACTGAATAGTTTGGCTTCAATGCATGAGCAGCAGCAATATATATAGCGGATTGGCTGTACAGTTCATTTGGTGAAACTTCTTTAACACTGACCGATCCCCCAGTTCTAAGAGTGTCCTCAGCCAATCCATACTGCAGAGAAAAAATACAATGACTGCTTTACTTATGCTCAAGTCAGCCACTAGTCAATTCATGGCAATAAAACATATCATGCTATCCCATACTATAAGAAGCAGCAGCAATCTCACCAGAACGGTTCCAAGATTGTAAATTGCCCGATGGAAATCAAATTGCAACTGAATGGCTGCACGAAACTGCATTGAAGAACATGGATAAGTTAAAAAGGCAGAAGAGAGAGTCAACTATATTTAAAAGGCACCACAAGCATAAAATCACTTCCTGGTAATATTAATCTGATTATTCCCTGCCCCCCTAAAAATAAGGAGACAGGGAAAAAAAAGATTTGTACCTTGCTTATAGCAGTTCTAACAATTCTCTGCTTTTCTCGTGCTGGAACAATGGCACTGAGTTCC